GTTGAACCTAATTTGGAGTTATGAAAGGTAATTTAACTGTAGGGTTTAAGACAAGGTAGCTTGGAAAGTTACAGAAAAAACAACAAAAGCTTGTTCTTCCTTTCAGTCACCCAGAACTGGTATGTACATATGCAAATACTAAAGAAATCATCATAGAGGGTTTTAAGGAGACTTCCACTGGGAAGAAGAAAGTCAGGATGTGGAAAGAGTTAACAACTTAATTAGTTTTAAAAAATAGCTAGATCTAGATTTATCTTATATAGATCTGTAGATAAGCTTCCAGGTCATTAAGAATGTAGAATACACAGATTCTCTTTTGGATTGAAAAAGAATAAAGGTGAATTGCTTGAAGCAAGAAGAGAATAGACAATATCAAATTAGCAGGGCAACATCATCCAAGTAAGATTTTACAATCTTTTAAAATGGTCCTTTGATGAATATTCCAGGGAACAGAGAGTATCACTTGGTTCTTCTTAGAATTATTCTATAGGGCAGTCAAATATGTTCTGATAGTCCATGTAATCTATACTTAGGTCATTATTCTAATGAACTCAAGACTCCTTAGAATTCTAATTATATCATGGCATACTGGAATCTGAGTGCCTTTCTTCGCTGTCTGTTTTGCAGATATGATTTAACCCTTATTACTTTGATTTATCAGTGTTTCTAGGCCCAGGAGCCTTTAAGATAGTAACTGCTGATAGTTGCTTGAGTATTAGAGAATATTTTTCCTGATGACAAAAGCTCAGTAATTGGAAATCTTATGAAAGTTTACGTCTGGTTGAAGTAGAAAGTCATTTCATATGAAGGTGGTATTGTCTAGTGCCTGCATTAGCCCATCATTTGGTTACTGAAAACCTAAGGTAGGCAAAGCTCAGCTCAGGGTGGGGTACAGTGTTAAGTTATAGGCTAAGGAAGAGCTAAATCATGGAAGAACCCTGATATTTAGTTGCACACATGACTGCCTGGAATAGTCAATGTTTCCCATTAGCCTTGTAGCTCAGTGTTACCATCTCACCATTTCTGAGAATGAAATGAAAGGGGAAATGGTACGTGCCACTTTAGGAAAATGTCCACGGGTGTGAGTATACCTTTCTCTTCCTCCTTTTCCTCTTTGCTCCTGCAATGTAGCCATGATTGCTAGAACTGGGATTGAGAATAAAGGCCAAAGGTAGCTGAGCAAGGAGCTAAAGAAAGTATCTGTTACACTTTAGGATGCTTCGGAGGGCCATAACAGCCCTGGATCACCAACTGCTAGACTTTCACTTGAAAAAGAAACAAACTTCTATCTTGCTTAAGTTGATCTTATTTTGTGTTTCTGTTGCTTGCAGCCAAAATGAATCCCAATTAATACAGAATGTATGCATCATTTTTAAAAATATTTTTTGCTTTAAGCAACTTTTTCTCCACTAATTGAATAACTACCAATTCCAATCATATGAGAAGACTTTTATTGAGTATGAAAAAAACATCACTTTGAATATATATATATCTTACACACTCACTCCCTTTACATAACAATTATGACTGAGATGCCTATCACTGTACAAAATCCTTGTCCATATCTCTGTTTATTTCTATAGAAGTGATATCTGTAAGTAGAAACATTGGATTAATGACATATATGTTCTATAAATCTGTTGATACATATTGTCAACTTTCTTTCCAGAAAAATTGGGTCAATGTACATCACTAGCATAGGGGCATGCCTGTCTCCACATAATTTTGTTAGAGTTTGGTAGTAGGGCACTGTTACTTTTCAGTTAATTTTATGGCGGAAACATGAAACATGGTGGATCTGATAATTGCATTTTTTTGTTTTTTGATGAAGATCAGCCCAGAGCTAACATCTGCCGCCAATCCTCCTCTTTTTGCTGAGGAAGACTGGCCCTGAGCTAATTCTGTGCCCATCTTCCTCCGCTTTTTATGTGGGATGCCCACCACAGCATGGCTTGCCAAGCAGTGCCATGTCCACACCTGGGATCTGAACTGGAACCCTGGGCCACCGAAGCCGAACGTGTGCACCTAGCTGCTGCGCCATCAGGCCGGCCGCTGTATATATTTTTATGTATTGGATTTGTAAATGCAGAGTATATTTTCTTATATTTATTGGCCATTTACATGTATTCTGTGAAGAGATTATCCATGTTCTTTTCCTAACTTTAATACTGTTGGAGATCTTAGTGTATTTCTTATTAATCTGAAAAGAGTTCTTTGATTAGAAATTTTAATAGTTATTAAAATATCTTAATTTTGGTTATCCTATTTGATTGGATATTCAGCTTTTTTAATTTTGGGGGGTTCTTTTCCATTTGGTATATATTGATTTTTTTTTCAATTTTAATGGAGCTGAAGCCAATAGTGCCATCTTTTTCGAAAATGACTCTAGCGCGGAGAGCTTCCGTGTATAGTAGCTTCTTTGCTCAAACATCATCTGTGATGCTATCTTGTCCCTGAGAAGAAGGGTTAAATCTTGTTGTATAGCAAAGAGGGCACAAGATTTACTTGATTTTATTTTTGTGGAAAGTTCACCTTAGAAAAATGTTGGCAAGAGTCATGGATTTCCTGGCAATGGAATGGGACGCTTTATGTCTTAAATCAAATATAGAAGACTATGGCCATCAGATTAAAAATGATTTGGAAGCATGAAGTTTGAGCCTAAAATACAGGTAGCTACTGTAAAAATTGTTCCCTTGACATTTGATTAAACTGTATAAACAATTAACCTCTTCTCTTCCTTTCCTTGCTTTTCTTCAACCATCAGTGATTTTTACTCACTGTTTTTCCTTTTGGATTCTTTCTCCCTCATTATTCTCTTTGTAATTTCGTTTACTTGTGGTCAACTCCTCTTCAGTGAATATATTCAATTACTTATTTAACTTAATAGGCTTGCTTTTCAGTTAATATGTTTCATACTTAAGCACTTATTTAACTTAATATGCTTAGTTTTCAGTTAATATGTTTTTTAATATATTAATTCGATTTTGAAATCTCATTCCTTTCCCATATCCTTCCAGACCTGTCAAGTTGTGATAAGGTTTTTTCTAAAAATTGGTCTATAGGCACTGTTTATTTATATGTCTGCTGCTCCTGCTAATGACATTTAATATCTATACAGCAACTTTCATTGTGTATTCTATTACTTTATCACTTTTCTACAGATATTCATTTGAGAGACAAATTGAGTAGTTTCCATTTTGCCTCCTTTACAAATAAGAGCCTCTTGTCACAATTGGCTAGAGTCTACTCTTTCCAAAATTATTTAAGTAACAAGTGACTCTAGATAGTTTATATTTTCTTTAAGTACTCAGGGGAATTCACAGATGCCCTATATTAGGCAAATTCAAGTAGCCTAACTTGAGCCTCTGAACATCTAGTTGGTCAGAATTCAGCAATATCCTTAAATCCTCCTCTCATTTTTTTAAAAAAGGAATTACACTGTGTAAAGTACCATGGATACAGAGTAATCTTGGGTTATACAGATGATTAAAATTTGGAATTTGCCTTCAAGGAAGATTCTATAATCTGAGGAGACGGATAGACAAGCAACTAATTATTTTAAAGGAAAAAGAAAAAAGCAGAATGAAATAGGTGTTATTGTGGAGAAACCATCAAAGTGCTATGGGAATATAATGGAAGTGGTGATTATTCTGATTGAGTTCGGTGAGAAAAAGCTTGTTGGAGCACTTGACACTGAAATTGAACTTTGAAGAATGAATGAGATTTTGATAGTCACTTACAATGGGTATGGTCTTTTAATTCTAATGAGAGTTTAAATTCTTCAGATGTCCTGGGGTTGATGTTACCTCCCTAAGAGCTCTGGAAGGGCATTCGATCATTCTGAATATATACATTCAAATACTATTTGGATGTAATGCGTTTGTTGGATCTATATAATAATTCTTAGTTTCTCTCATAATCGTAACTCAAATTTACTGATAGAGAAAATAACACCTTTACCATTTCAAATCATGAAATTTTAGAGCAGGAAAAGACCTTAGAAATTACCTACTTAACCGTCTCATTTGCAAAGAAGGCACAAAGGGGTTCAGCAATTGACCAAGGTCGCTCAGTTAACTTGAGCAGACTTTTCCTCTATCAGAAGGCAGTGCTTTGGAATCGGCACCTTTTTGTATCCATTATGGTAATTTTTATTGATGTTGTGAAATAAAACCATTGATTCCCCACATCTTATTATTAGAGAAGGATACTTTAAAGCCTGCAATGAACTTGCAAGTTGAGGTAAGTTTGAAGGAATCTAAAATGCACCAAAGGCAGAAAACGCACCGGGGTCGGTACCTGCATGATGAAAATATGGAATAATCTGCACCTAAAAACAGAGACGCAGGCAGGACTTTCCATCTGACGTCGTTTACTCACCTGGGGTGCAGTGGAGGAGGAGGAGAAGAGGGGTGAGGGAGAAAGGGGAAGGGGGGAGGAGGAGGGAGAGAGAGAGAGGGAGAGAGAGAGAAAGAGAGCGAGAGGGACAGGGAGAGAGAGATGGGGAGAGATGCGTGCCTCAAAGCCGCAAGGAGAGGCACCCTTTGTTTGAGAAACCCTGAAAGGGAAGCCTCTTGTAGCAGCCTTCTCGTTCCCACCTCCAAGCGTTTGCCGAGCTGCTAGGTGGAGCCCGCGCGCGGAGCCCGCACGTACTCCAGATCCGGGTTTTACCGGCCACCCCCTTCCCCCGGCGCGAGCCCCCTCCCCGGCTCTCCGCGCTCGCCCGCCCGCCCGCGGTTCATTCTGGCCTCGGCTCGGGCCCCGGCTGCGTCCGCTGCGCAGGCTGCCGGCCCCGGCGCACCCGCGCTCCCATCGGCTCTCGGCACGGCGCCCGGTCGCCTGCTCGCCCGGCACCGCTCGCCCCAGTTCCCAGGAGCGGGGATGCAGATGCTGCCGCGGGTGCGGGTGGGCGCCGCCGCTGCCTCTGCCGGCTTTTCCCGGACTGCTCGTTGCCTCCGCGCCGGCAGCTGCTGCTGCTGCCGCCTGTGACTCGCCCCCTCCCCTTTCTTTCTTCTCTTTTTGCCTCCGTCCTTTTTCTCCGGTGTGCGCGCGCGCGGGTTGCACGGTTTGCTTTGGCAGGAGCTCGCTCGTGTGTGCGCGTGTGTGTGTGCGTGTCTGGAGAGCACCAGAGCCTTGCTCGCTCTCGGGGAGTCGAAGAAGAGAAAGAACCGAAGAGGCGGCGGCGGCGCGGAGCCCGGGGCCGCGCGATGAAGCTCCCACATGCCCGCAGCTACCCGGCCCGGCCGGCGAGCTAGGCAGCCACCCCCCGGGCTCGGGGCTCCGCGGCCCCCGGGACGCAGCCCTCCGCGGCCCGGCGCCCGCGCCCCCCGCGCGCCCCCGCTGTGCACTGGGGAAGGAGTTTGCGTGGCCCTCGCTCCGGCTCCCGGCGCAGGTTGCGGGCGCGAGAGGAGAGCCTCGGCGGGGAGAGAAGCTCGGGCGGAGAAGGAGGAGGGTTTGGTGGAGAAGAAGCCACTCCTGGCCCTCGCGGCTCCCCCTACCTATTCCATCGCTCCCGCTCCCAGGCGGAAAGGGGAGGACGGAGAAGAAGAAAAAGAAAGAGAAGGGGGTGGGGTGGGAGAACTGGATATAAAGATCGGCTGGGGGGATGGATGGTGGAAGATTTTTGGTCTCTTCAGCAGCGTCTTGCCTTAAGCGGCGGCAGCAGCAGCAGCAGCAGCAGGAGAAGCAGCCCCAGCTATGACTGCCGCATGTTAATAGCTGCCGCTTGGGTCCTTCGGCTGCTGCTGGAGACAGAGCCTGACTCCGAAGTTGTGGAACTGTGGACTGCGAGAGACATTTGAACCCTCCTCTCTCTTTGCTCCGTTTTTACCCTCTTGGTGTGTGTGAAGCGAGGAAACGTGAAGGAAGACAAGCATTTGGATGTTTTTGTTTTTCCTTCCCCTTTCTCCCTGGCTGTGTAGCAGAAGAAAGGGGGAAGGAAAGACTTTTTGTTGGTGTCTCCGTGGCTGGGGTCTCCACCCTCCTGCTGCCTTCTCTGCGCTGTGGTTATTATTCTTTACCGCGTGTGGCGGGGGTGTCTTCGCTGGGACCGGCCGGTCTTTTGCCCCGGGCTCCATGGCTGGATTGTGGAAGCTGCACCCGGCTGCAGGTTGTTGAACAACTGATGGGACGATCTCAGGGACCGGCGGTTGCGAAAGGTAATTTATTCTTCTCACTCTTCCGAATGGTGGTAGCCCTGGCCCGGCGCAGGCGGCGGCGTCCGCGGGGCGGGCAGCCGAGGGCGTGCGGGATTCACGCGCACTCACCCTCCCACTCACACACTCGCCCGCACACACACTTATGCGATCGTGATGCGGGGCGGGAAGGGAGCCTCCTGGCTGGTGGGCGCTGGGCTTTGGCACGGGTTCGGTTTTTCCAGCTACTGGGCGATTTGGCGGCCGGGAGGGATGAAGCGGAGAGTAGACCGGTGCATTCGCAGTCCAGCACGCTGGGGAACAGGGACGGTTTCCACTCCGGGAATTTTCCCTCCTCTCTCACCCCAGTGTCATCCCCTGGTGGGGGCCGAAAGCAGACCAGGGGGCGCCTTCTCTCCGCCAGCCCGGAGCGGGTGCGCATGGAGGCGGGAGCGGGCTGGAGGACCGACAGGAACCCGGTGAGGAGCTGGACACCGGGCTGATGGGGACTGCGGGGCTGTGAGCCCGCCGCGATCCTCCCCGGACGCTTGCCTGGAGCATCCTGGTGGCTGCGGTTGCCCAGGTCGCGCCCCTGAGTCGTGGAGCCGCGCTGCCTCTCCGCACCCCTCCCGCTGTGTCCCCTTCCCGGCAGTTTGGTTTACACCTGCTTGCCCAGGCTTTGTTAGGCGGCTTTGGCTGAAGAAAGCTGCCACTTTCGTGGGTGGCCCGGGGTGTTGCGGCGTTGGGAGTGGGCATGGGGCAGGGGGCGGTGTTGCACGAATTCAGGCGGCCGGGGTCCCCGGGCGGGGTGGGCAGAGCCTTGGTGGCCACGGCCGGCTGGGTTACAGGTAGGAGGGCAGGCGCCCCGGCGCTTCTCACAGGAGGAGGGGAGGCTCCGGGCTGCAGCGGAGCGTAGGTGCTGCCGCGCCCCCGCCGCTCGTCCCACGTCGGAGCTCAGGGGCTAAGCGGGCCAGGCCCCCCCAGCTTTATAGGTGGGTGGGTGTGTATGTGGCGGGGGCGGGGGGCTGAGCTCCGCTACCGGGGTTAGTTGCCGGCGGGGTCGGCATGTGCGTGTCCGTGTGTGCGCGTTCGTGCGCTCGGGGGATGGCCGGGGGGTATGTGCGTGGATGGCAGAGCTGATGCTACTTGAGCTGAGCTTGCTTATCGAAATCGCCTGGGATCCGCTTAACTGGAAAATCTGGTTTTAGGAGGCCGCGTGGGGCCCCGTAGGGCTTGCGAGGAACCCTCACGGCGTCTGTCCCCTTTCCCCCAGTGAGGAGGACCTCCGCAACATGCGTGCGGCGCGTGAGAGTCTGGTGCAGCGCTCGACGCACCCCAGATTGGCCCTGATGAGGACCAAGGGACAGAGTAGTCATCTCTCCGGCAGATTGAAATAACCGAGTCAACCCAGCATAACCCCCGGTCCCTGGAATTCTCCGGCCACTTTCCTCACTCCGATAGAAACGTGCTCTGCTTTATTTATGGCCGGAGATATCACAGCAGTTGGGCGAACTGAGGCGTGCGAGCCACCTCCGGGTGTCTCCTGCCTGTGCCTGTGTGTGATCCTGCCTGCAGTAGTTAGAGCGCATTGTAAACAACGGTGTAAGCAGCCCTGCCACAGGCTCCTTTCGAGCCGAACCTAGTGGTGTCTGTTGTGTTTACTTTCCTGGGTGGATTACTCATTAGGAAGTATAAGCCTTCTTGCACCTCTGATTTTACATCCTTCCAGCCAGCTGCTGGGGAAATGAGGAGACGCACAGACTCTGGCAGGAAGGAAAAATTGCCTTCTGTGTTTTGCACTGAAGTAAATAGGCGGTCTGTTAATTTAGTGTCACATGGGCTATCAACACTAGTTAGAGAATGTCATTGTAGAATCTACGAAGAAACACTTCTTGAGTAATTTTTCATTTGGGGAATGTTTTTTATTTCTCTATGAGATTAAACAGAAGTTAGCCAGATTTCCCTGGTAGATTTTCCAATCTGTAATGATACTAAATGACCTGGAGTTCTGGCGCCCAATTTGTCTGTACGTGAATTACAGAGACTTGTCATTTCTTTTGTAGCATCACCAAAAGGGGTTTCCAGCTAATTTTTGTAGGAGTTAAAAGGATATTTGTGTTGAAATATCTCTCAGCGTTGTTTCACTCAATCTTTTTTTTTTGGTAACCAAAGCAAGGGTTAAAAATGTACAAAGATTAACAGTTTAAAAAAGTTGAAAAGATAAACTGCTTTTCAGTTTCAGTAATTAGAAGATAGTAAATTCCGTAGTTGTAGATTAGCTTTGATTGCTTTGGGGTTTGTTGCAAATGGCTACATTCTATTTTGTTTAAAAAGTATGTAAAATGGTACTTTTTAAGATCTTGACTTCTTGAAAAAGCTTAGGTTGCAAAAAAAGAAGGAATACTGAATCATTGATACCTGATTTTGATTAAGGTAGATTTTTCTGAGATAATGGCTAGTGGTGGTCCTCTTAATAGAAAACTCAAGAGAATTTTAATTTAATTCATGAGAATCTAGCTTCATATATTTGTTTCATTTCTAGAGGGTATGTGTTACTCTTTACTCTTGCCAATGTTTCTGAAGATTAAAGAATACTTGTCCTCTCATTTTAAAAGATCTAATCACAATGATTCCCAGTCCTTCCATTAGAAGATTTGATCAGATCTGTTCTTTGTTTCCTAGCAGCATGTGTTTCCTAGCAGTCATACATTCCACAGGTCCTGATGTCATTAGAACTGTGTCCCTCAGTGTATTGTGCTGTCTTTAGCTGAAGGTGAATGTGTCAGAGCGCTTGAGTGCCATTCCGTAGCACTTAGCACTAAATATTCAATAACGCGCTCTCTTGGTGTGTATGGTTGACTGGACTATTGCTGTAAACTCGGAGGAGGAATGTTAGGATAAAGGTTTATGTGAACTATTTACATTTTTTAGATAGACTGCAACAGACATCCCTGGGTGCAAGAATGATAAGCCAGCAGGTGATTTGCTTTTGATGTCTCATTTTAAATTGCTTGGTGTGATTCTCCTTCAGATTGAGAGCTCTCCTCAGAAATATGAATGGAAGGTCTTTTAGACATGATTTTCTTAATGATGATCTTCTTACAGCTCAGAGATTGAAGTATTCCTTTCCACAGGGAATAATAGCGAGTGTGAGACTTACTGGCTCCTGCTGCTGTGCCTGGCATTGTTTCTAGTCATTAGGAAAGGCCGGATTCTTATGGACTTGATTTACCTTTGATTCCTTGGTGAGCTATAGCCAAGGAAATCCTAAATAGAAAATAAAAAAAGGTTATAAAATCCAAAGGATTCAAGTTAGTCAAATAATATCATGCTAAACTGAACTGTTTCCCACATTTCATTTTGACCACTTTGCTGGTTGAAACTCTTTTTGAAAAGAACCCCCAAGGAGCAGTGACAGTTACTGTTAGCAGTGGGGTATTTTTGCCCAGAAATCAGCAAGGAAAACTGGTGGTGATTTTTGTATTTAAGAACAGAGACTGATTTTGAGGAATGCTCTGCAGCCTTAATTTATCATGGTGTGAATGGCCAGAGCAGTTGGAATTAGAGGGAGCTGATCTTTCGTTAAGTTTTGCAAATGGCTGTTTTCCCTTTGATTTCTTAAGATTTGCATTGCATTCAAAATGTGCGTTTGCTCACAGGAAGGGGCCCTAAAAACAGGCTGTATTGTAGTTTATCATTTGTTTGCCTTCAAGGACATATTTACACTTAGATTACTATTGCATTATGTCTTTTTCTTTTATGCAAATACATTTCATTATAGAATACCCTATTTTATAGTAAAATATAAAGTAAAATATTCAAATATGGTAAGGGCCTCCTGACATTTTCCCTTTGTTATCTGTGTGTGTGTGTGTGTGTGTTTGGCCAGTTTGAGAATGTAGTGTGAGCCTGCCTCCAGATAACATGAGTCCTAAGATGTGTGTGTTTTCCCCCCAAACCCTTTAATGTTACTACCCTGGTGTGAGTGTCTGTATGGCCCAATAAAATTATCTCTACTACTGCATAAGTAACCAGGTGTAATTTTTTTCTTAGAATTGTGAAGTATGGTAATGCACTCACCAATACAAAATATACTTAAAAAAATTAGCTGTCCTTGGGGCCAGCCCGGTGGTATAGTGGTTAAGTTTGCAAGCTCTGCTTTGGCGGCTTGGGATTCCCAGGTTCAGATTGTAGGCACGGACCTGCATACCACTCATCAAGCCATGCTTTTGTGGTGTCCCACATACAAAATAGAGGAACACTCGCACAGATGTTAGTTCAGCGACAATCTTCCTCAAGCAAAAAGAGGAAGGTTGGCAAGAGATGTTAGCTCAGGGCCAATCTTCCTCACCAAAAATAAATAAATAAATAAAAATATTAGCCATCCTATTCTTAATTAGTTAAAATTCTCCATTTGTTTTAGGGAGTCGGTATGAAAGGGGAGAGTTCTTCCTGTGTTTGATTATAACAGATTGTATAGCTCTTAATAATTTATGTCTTGCTTATGTCTTATTGACACTTAAAACAAGAATTTACTTTAATATTATTGAATTTCTTCCTAAGTGTGATTACATATACATATTAGAATAGGTTAACATTTGGTCCTTATTATTTAAGAATTTAAATAGAATATTGTTTGTGGTACTACTATTATGAAAATTATCTCTAGATGGAAAATTAAATCACACAACTGAATATTTCTGTCTGGTAAAACTTTGAGGTCAGTTATTTTCTAGAGAAGACAATCCTCCCTTCTCAAAGTGTGTTCTGGGAAACTTGTGGGTCTCTGAGACCCTCTCCAAGGGTCTGTGAAGAGAAAACATTTTCATTATAGTGTTAAGATGTTATTTGCCTTTCACTCTCTTACTTTAACAAGTGTACAGTGGAGTTTTCCAGAAGGTACGTGCTTTGTGATGACATCGTTGCTCTGATGGCATATGGCATGTGTGCTGTGTCTTCTTGTGTTTTAAAATTTTCCTACTTTAACTATTAATACATAAATATTGATAATTATAACCAACAGA